TCACCAAAGCAACATTCTCAGATAATCCCATTAGCCTAGAATAAGAATTGCCAGTATTTACGCACAGAATATGCATGAGATCAAGACTTTATAATAACAGAAACACAACTTGAAAAAAAATAAGGTAGACCAATAGTCAGATTATAAAGGGACTGACACAAGAAGCAGGTAAAATCAAAAAATGCAACAAGCTAGACTACCATATATAGTTTGGGGAAAGATTGCCATCCTCCCTCCTTCTTTCCCACACACCTACCAGAACCTTGGGAGAGTGTATTTCTGTTTGGGTTTTGATAAGGGTAAGTGTAAATATAGAAATCTGAACACAAGGCTCTGGATCGCCCTAATGAAATGTTAGGTTTTGATTTTTAATACTGAAACTTCAGATAATCTAAGGAGCAACACTGTAAAGTCCTCTGACAAATAGCCTGTGACTTGAACACAGAACAATCTCATTTCCTTGCAAGTTACCTTAAAGACCATAATGAAATCGTATGCTAGATACAGTAACCCAAAGAGGTTTTGTTGGGGTTTTTTTCCAAACAGTTTTTTAATCTTAGGCTGGTTTAGATTCTGCTTTGAGTACAAATGTTGGGGAAATACGGCCACTGCTCTATGTGCCAGAGTGTACTTCTCAAGCTGATTTTACATTTCATCAGGCAATATCAACTCAAGCTCTGGCAGGAAAGAAAATTATCAGTGAGAGCTCTTTCTGCAGAACACTCATATAGTCACTGTAATCTTTCTAAATGCAAGCAAGCACTGCACGTATAAATTTTATTGACACTATGGTCAGATTTTACTGTTTCTGTGGAGAGCTGCTAAGACCAAAACTACAGAGATACCTTACTGGCAAAGGCATGCAAAAAGGTAGTAGCAGACAAGTTTCTTCTTAATTTTCAGAGTCTTGCTATCTTTTTTCACTATTAATATATTCCAGAAACAAGATGTAGTACACTGCATATAATGATCTCACTACCTGATTCCCACACTACAGCCATTTCTTTTATTGCATAAAACCCCATATTCCCATCTTCCCCTTCAAAAATGGAGACTGTGAGTGGTTTAGGTAATTACTGCTGTCACAAAGGGCTTGACAAATAACTTTTTTGCTCAATGTATGCTTTAGGCCACTGGGAAAGCTGTCAAATAATGACATCAGAATCTACATTAACACTAGCAAAATGCAACTGTACTTCCTTTCAGATGGTTTATAGCCCTTCCTTTTCCTATTCCCTGGTTGAGCACAAGAGTGGGATGAACAAATGGGTTGTAATTCAACCCAGATAAAACGGGGATAGATAATGCAGATTAAAGGAAAGAGTATGAAAGAAAGAGAGAAGCACATCCTTGCTTTGTTAATGAAGAAGCTTGCTCATTCTTCACTATCAATTGATGCTGAAAGCTTGAGTCACTTCCTAAAATTCCAATTAAGTTGTAAGGGATGAGCAAACAGAACAGCTGCTCTCCCCTCTTTCAGTATGTAAGTTGTTATTACAGTGCATTTCTTGTACATGAGCCACTCTACATGTACAAGAATGTTAGATGGACTACTGCCTCACACACTGTGGGGAGCTACCTTCCCGCTAATCCATTCCAAAGCTCTCAAGCGCAGACCTTCCCATCTTCAGTATGATTTTATATTACGTGCTCTTAATTCCAGTCAATGTACAAGCAAACCAGAAATTCACTATTACTTCAATGCCTGCTGAGTTCACCTGCTCCGTTCTGAGAGCAACCCTGAGCACTGATCATGGTTTTAAAAGCTGCTTGTGAGTATTCCCCACATGGAAGATGGCAGTGCGCAGAAGCAGCTGAGGCCTGACATTATTAGACAATTCACTTGCCAGTGAAAAGTTTAGTGACTATGGCAAATGATTAATGAGGAACTTAGTATTTCTGTCAGGCATCAGTGGAAAAAATAGATTTATTTCCAGAACAAAAATGCAGCAAACCTGATCCTGTCATGTGGTTTGGTTTTAGGTAGCCCTTCGAAAGGCAGCAAATTGGACTCAAGGATCCTTATGGATCCCTCCAACTGATTCTGTGATCTGTTTGTCAAGTATTTTTCCAGAGTTAAGTTACACATGCCACAAATTCGGCTCTGATGATTGTTTAGTGTGTTGTTAAGAATGATACTTTGAAGCTATTACAGCTTGAGCACCAGGGTTAGTATCACTGTCAACTCTGAAGCCATAAAGGATCCAAAGAAATACGATCTTCCCATTGATTTAATGTTTTGAAAATGTACCTTATGGGTGACATCTATTTAAAGGGATTTTCCCCTCACCCATCAACTTCAGAATCTCCACAGAGCCCCCAACTAAACTTGATCAAACATCTAACCTCTAACATCCTGTTCCTGCTGACCCACTGTGCTGGTTCATCTGCATTAACAGCTTCCACGCGAGGCCAGTGATTCTGTTAAAGCTTAAGGCTATGCTAGACGCTGGTTTTCTATCAGTGTAGTTACATTAATGAGAGATGTGATTCATCCCCACCTCTTCAGCATCAGTGCAGTTACAGTCACATGCAACTACTTTTATTACTACAAGAATGGGAATGAGCTATACCAGTATAACATGATCAACACTAGAGAAGTGTCACGTAAAAAAGTAAGGTTTGCATATACATTGTTTTGTCTGCATTTTTACAGTTTGGGAGTAATTCCAATGATTTTTATGAAACTCCACACACACATACCCCACCTGTGTACTTGCAGCACAGTATGCAGGAAGGCATTTGGAGTATGCAATCTAGGGGTTTAGTTAAAGTGTTTCAGTGTTTCTAACACCTAGCACGCATATATATTATACCATATTACTCATGGCTGCTCCCATAGAAAAGAGTTGGAGGTTTTAGAAGAATGAAACTGATGTGGGTTAAGAAGTAAATTAAACTGTAGCTGACCACTCAGCTGAAAAGTGGGGGTCAGAAACACTTGCATGGATTCTTCCCGACTGCCCAGCCTCACTCAAAACAAAAGTCATAGAACAGACCACACTAAAAAAGGGCACAAGACGAAGTTATTCACAGCAGCCTTCAAAACAAGAGAATTTAATCAGTATGTGTCCCTCCCTCCCACACACTGCTCAATAAGATTTGCTCCCTACAACTTAAGAACAGTTCTAGCTTTTTTTTTCTAAGGTTCATTGTGATGATAAATGCACAAAAGTGTATGGCATGCACTGCCGCTTATTAGCATTTAATGCTTCTTGAACAACTACAATGCAAATATTCATCACAATAGATGGGAACCTTGGTGGAAACAAGAATTCCCACAAATTGTTTAAGAGTACAGTAAATGAATAGGATCACAAACAAAAAGCCCAAATCCCTCACAAATGCGTATGCTGCATTTGCTTACAGATTAGCCCACTACACATCCGTTGTGTGACTGCATTTGTAGAACGCCCTTTGAACAACGAAAAAATTATACCCCAACAAGAAGTGTGTTCCTATTTATGGATGCGTTCACATCAAACTAACCACAGTTGTCTCAAGGTTTGGTTTGATGGATTTTTTGTGTTTATTTTTATTAGTGACAGATTTTTGCATAAGGAGGGTGTGACAGGACACACTATAAAGTCTGACAGTTTTAAAGCAGGCTCCATTTTGAAGTACTTAGCTGACAGTGTATCAATAAGCTTACTAACAGACATGGTAACTTTCAAAAAGTGATGTCTGGAGTTTATTTCCATTCCTAAGCTACAACTCCACATAAAGCACCAAAAAATCTGAATGACAGCATAGGAAGTAATTGAAGCTACAAACAGCAGTTGACACCCTTTAAAACTGCTTTTACCTCACGTATACAACTAGACTACCAAAATAAACGTAAACTAAATTTGCTCTATAGAATGCATTACGAAAACTCCTACATTCTGCACAAACTCTCACTGATTCCCAAGTCTCATCTCTCTATTCAATACAGTAATATGTAAACACACTCCACAAATGTGTTTTTTGCTTATGATCAAGGTGCTTCCAGGAAAGTATTTTTTAGTCTATTCCTATGAGTACACTGAGGAGCAGAGAGAAAAAAACAGCCCTATTCTTACTGTACCTTGTAAATTATTTCTTAAAAATACTTAATATTTTTATCCATATAAGGCAGGAGAAAAAAAAAAGGGATGTGATTCTGTCCACAGTACCTTTCATATCTTGCTTATGGCTGTCAGAAATGACAATAACAGAAGCATAAGAGCACAAGAAACAGTTGTCTTTAGTGTACACACACGTGACAGCCCTTCTTGGAAAGTTGGTTTCCCCTGTCAACAGCACAAGACGAGATGGTGCATGGATGCGTGTACATACGCACACACAATCACATGTAGATACATCAGAACATGTGTGGCTAAAACCACATCAGTGATCAGCAGTATTGAGAAAAGCCTCATAACTCTTTTAAAAACAGCCTCCAACAAGGGAAACACTTCTAAAGTGGAGACGACAAAGGAAAAAAAGCCCCAATAAATCAAGATATTTCATCGGCCAGACCGACGGCGGGCAGAGGAAGGAGGAGTACCCTGCAACAGCTCTTCCATCCTGTCCCAGCCGAGGAGAGGAAGGGCGGAGGGCGAAGGGAGGAGGCTAAGGGGTGAAGGAGAAACGGCCCAAATTAAGAAACATGCCAAGCATCGCTCCGCTGGGGGAATCCCCCTCCGCACACACACGCACTTTCAAAGAGAAGCTCGCGGCGGGGAGAACACCTCCAAACATCCACTGAGGATATTCCTCCTTCTCATGCACCCAGCTTGAATTTACTGGAGCGACTTCACTTCTAGCAGGGGGACTGGCTGTCACCCTCCCACCCCAGCACCCTTCTTGGAACAGGGCGGGACGGGACAGGCAGCCGCCTCGAGCCGTCTCTCACGGGGAGCGGCAGACCCCCCACACTGGCTGCCCCCAGCCCTGGGGTGCTCGCGGAGGCAGGACAAGGCGTTCCCCCGACCCCCCCGTCCCCGCCGTCTCGCTCCCTGCAGCGTCGCGTCCCTCACCAGCCTGGGTGGTGTCGCTGAGGTCGTGGTTGGCGGCGCTGGCCCGCGGGTAGTCACGGAGCTTCCTGCCGCTCAGACTGAGGGTACCGCTGGCTGCCGCTTCTTCTAAGGCTCGGTCCAAGGAGCGGTTCCACGAACCGGGACCCGAGGGACCTGGTGGCGGAGTACAAGCCGCCGCGTTCCCCGCCTGCATCACGGCGGAACCGCCCTCCGGCGCCGCCAGCACCGTGGCCGCCATTTCCCCCCCTCCGCCACCGCCACTGCTGCCGCTGCCGCTACTGCTCCGGCTTTGCGCGCCGCTGCGCAGGCGCGGGGAAGCCCGGGGACCGGCTGGGAGGGAGCGGGGTACGCGCATGCGCACAGGAACGGCAGCTCTTGAAAATAACGCGGCATATCCGCTTTTTGGGTCCGATTCGGGGTAATGTGTCGTGCGCGGCCGCGCACCGCCCCACGGCCCAGGCTGCAGTGCCCGGACGCCTTCTGACGTTCCACCGGCTGCTGAGCATAGGCCCGTTCCAACAGCAAACCAAGGGGAGATCGCAGGGATCGAACTAGGTGGGAAGAGTACAAACTGGATTGTGTTCAACTTGATGTCATCGATCCCTAAAAGGCTGCACTCTTTGCAACGTCCAAATAAATGCCAGTCTTGGTCTGGGCAAGCACTGATGTGCTTGCACGCTGGAACTGCTGCGAGAAGCTGGCAAGTGTGCAAGCTTGAGCTGGTAACAAAGCGCAAAGGCTGTGGACACTCTTCCTCATGTACACCTTATCAAACATATTTACAGGCAGCATTTTCTTCCTGCACCTCCAATAAGCAGCAGCACTTGCAGTGCTAGCACAAGCCTGCACTCAGAACCGCCGGTGGTGGTTGTTTTCTCAGGGTGTTGACGCCCATCTTGTAACCCGAGGTTCAGGTGACAGTCACTTCTCACTAGGTAAGGTATGTCACAGCAACATGAAACCAGTGCTTGGTCTGACCGATCAAGGGATCTGTTCTATAATCACATCAAACCACAACAGTAGATGGTGCTACTGAAAAAATACATAAATACACATTTAAATGAAAGTTGGTACGGTGCCACTCCAAGAAGTGCTTCATTTTCAGGATATTAAGCTGGGCAACAAATGTGAGCCCTCTTCAAGAGAGCCTCCTTTCTGGTATGTTTTTCAGAACATTTAATAAGAATCTAATTATTAAGAACCCCTTGAAGGATATCACAAAATTCATGTAACCAATATACTGCTCAGGTGGTTATAAAAGCAACAAGACAATATGAAACCTGTAACTTTTTATTAAAAAAAAAAAAAAAAAGAAAAAAATTAACAGCTTCAGAATAGATCCAATGTAATAACTTCTCTGAAAAATACCAAAAGGTATAGTGTAACACATCTTCTCATTAAATACAAACTAGCATTTTTTGATGCATTGCATCAGTGTTTTGCATCTATGTTGATGCAAAAGAATGTTATTTTCGTTGCATCCTGGCACATCAAAGAATGTATACACTGAAACAGGGTGACTAACAACACTTTATCTACTCCAATTCTAACAGTGGGACATTTTTTCCAAAAACCCCAATTTCCTACTAGTAATTAAGAGAAACAAAAAAAAACCCAACCAACCCTTAATGCCATTACAATTAGTTTGCTTCTGCTAAGGTATATTTTTCAACATTAAAAATAAGGGTTTAAGTACTATATAGTATCAGGATGCACTCGACTTTAAAACTGCTATACAAAAGCCCTTCTAATGTCAAACATTCTTCAACATTAAAGTTCCTGGTAACTGCCAGTTAACTTGGAATTTGAGACAAAAATGCAAGGAAACCAACGCTAAGAAGGCAAATGTAAGTTCCTGAAGAACAATAAAAGGAATTAAATCCACTTCAAACACTAAACTTTTCTGGATACAGCAAGCCAGTTGTTCTTTTGCCTAACTGTACCTAAATCTCATTGTTATAGAACTCTGTTAAGTTCCTGATCTGGAAGCAATTCTGAACAGGTACCTCAGTTTTATGGATCATACAAATTCAGATTGAGGATGCCCCAGTTGTTACCATCCTGCACATCATGATGCACAAAGCTAAACGTAAAGCAACAACTACATGCTCCTGGCTTAACCCCTTACATGTGCTGGCAAACCGAAGGCTTTCTTCCAGCAACATTCCCCAGTTCCAGACAATTTTAAGATGTCTGACCACTTCTCATCAGCTTTGCATCTTTCCTCTCTTTGGTATACACAAACAAGTGCCATTATATTGCTTGCCTCTGGCTATTTCCAAGAGCCAGAGAAAACCCTCTGGGGCAAGGAATGCAAAATGAGAATCCTGTGTCTAGGGCGGATAAGGAATTCTACTATACCACTGGCTTTCTGGTGCGGGGTTGCATTTATTCCTATGGAATTATTCAAAATTTCAAAGTTATTGCATTAAATTTGTGAAAAAGTTTACAAAAAGAAACAGCAAAAGTTTAAGAAAAACAGGAGACAGACATACTCCATTTACAGAGGAGGATAATGAGATTAAGCTATTTGTAATATAAATTACTCTCACACTGCCTGTGCAGTATTCCTCCACTGCAGTCTGGACCACTTTTAAGGATAAGAGTAGAACAGTCTCCATTCCAGTTTCATATTTTGAATATCTCAACTAACAGCTTTATTTGTGAAAGTGAGGATGCAAAACATGTAGTTTTCAAGAAAGGAAAAAACTGAACTTCAAAAACACAAAGAAATCCAACCAATGCTCCCATGAAAAAACACCACTACATCACTACTGAAGTATTCGTGGACTGAGGCTCTGTGCCAAACTGCAGCCCACAGGGAAGTTTATAAGCAGTCCCTAAAAAACCCTAAAATGGGGTTTGTAATGAAACATACAAACTTTCTTGTGACAGAGGGGTCGAAGTATAGATACTGAGCACTCCTAAAAAAAAAAACAAAACCAAAAAGAAAACCCAAACAAAAACAACAACAAAAAAACCCCACAACCCAAACCGAACAAATAATCAAAAAAAAACAAAACAAAACAAAAAGCTTTTAAGACTTTTGTATTTTGGTTACAAGAACCAAAGTCAGTGTTTGTTATCAGCTGGGCCACAGAATCCTTTCCAGCCAGGTGATGGTGCCACTCCAGCAGATCAGTTTCCCCACTTTCCCCCTCTCAGGACAGCATGTCTTCTACCATTCAAAGTAATAAAGAGAGAAAGCTCTTGCCGCCATCTCAGCATGAAGTCCAGAGAATTTCAGTGATGTGTGCCGTATTCTTCTGCCCACTTTTATCTCTGTTTCTTAGGTAGGTGGGATCAGTGCTCAAGTCCATCTGTCAGGTTAGCCCACTGTTACAAAACGGCTCCCTTTGTTCTGAGACAGCGCTGTTCTTTGTTCCTTCAGGATCCCAAAACGTTCATTCAATGTTATCCCTGTCTGAGAAATAAAGTAATTTAACTATAGTCTTAAAAATGTTAGGTTAATTTAATCAAAGTAAGAGGCAACAGTATTTTTTTTCCCTCATTCTGTATCATCACGTGATTTCTTAATAGCCTCACTCGGATGAAAAAAATGGTTCAATTTGATTTAATCATTTCCCACACCATTTAAAAATCAGATTGGACTATCCATCAAAAGCTAGCATTTCTCATTTCTCAGAATTCACTAAAACCACATGGTATACAATGTCAAGACAAAGTCTACTCAAAATACTGCAAGTTAAATTTAGGACAGATGGGCTAAAAGCGGGAACTTCCACTAAACTAATTTTCCCCACATAGTTTCCATGCAACTTCAACAAATGCAGCAATTTAACTACGTTAACGTAGAGTTGCTTTCCAGTCCATCCAGCTGATGTAGTAGACTGGAGTCTAGTCCAAAAGTGCAATTAATGTTACAGTATATTAGTAGACTTTTTTACCATACTGCTTATTTATGGAAGGAAAAAATCTGATGCCCTGAACCCATGTATTTTTCTACAGCTGGCAAGAAGGAGCCAATTACAAAAGCAGCATCTGTCACCCTGTAAGAATTCTTTCAAGAACAGAAGCAAGATTTCTGCACCAAATCACCTGTCTTCACGAAACTTGTAAAAAATTGTCCATCTTTAAGCGTTTACATCATTACATTTGATTTTTTTCCCCTAGATGCATAGCAAAAGTTGCCTTATAAATTCAGCTGTTGGGGTTCTATGCAGGTTACACAACTGAAAACAACTCATCCCTGAATTACGCACAGTTGCTGATTCAAGCACTGCAGGAACACAAGAAGGCTTTTAGAAATATTCAACATTTTAAATCCCATTTTAAGCATGTGAGCACGCAAGACATGAACTTGACGAACAGGAACAGTGAGTTTAGTTACTTGTATGAAGTTACGTAGCAAGTTAGTGAAAGAACTGGAAGTGGAAACAAGTAGTCACTAGTTCCCTCTTCCTGTCACTAGTGAGTCTAGGTGGAAAGTGCCTGGCTCACTGGCTTTCATCTGTCTTGAAACTACTTCCACAGTTAAGCAATGAAAAGGCATTTACCTGTTTTCCAACACTATTAATATCAAACTGCAATGGAACCCCTTTGGGAACCTTCTTCTCTTCAGATTGGTCCCTCTTCATCAGAAATGGTGGCACAGGAGTACGAGTTAATCGCAATTTTGGGGAACTGTGAAAGAAGAATGGTACAAAGGACACAGTGAATATATGTTTTATGTAGTAAAACCTTAATGCTGATGGATGTATGAATTTTTCATCAAGCCATTTGATCAGAGTGGCTGAATTGCTGAAGGGTACAAATTCAAGAAGGTAAAAGTCATGCAGAACTATAAAAAGGTACCATTTGTTACTGTAATCAGATAGCAAGTGTAATGACAGGAAGTAATCTTTTACCTCTCACTCATTCTGACAAACACATAATTTGGAGTTAATGATCCCCGTAAATACAAAAAATTAAAATGCTACTAATGAAAAAGGCTACTTAAGATTAAAATAAAACACCTCATGGAACAACAGTACCATCAACTTCCTAAAGACAAAGACAGTAATGCTTTCTTTAAGCACAATTCCAGAACTAGTTTTATGAATCACAGAGGAACTATTACCATCACTCATCAACTAGATGCTCATTCATTTTCACACAGAACAGCTGCAATACAATCTGATTGGGAAGAGACAGACGAGGTGAAAATTTACCAGCCTGCCACTCTTCGGCTCTATACACAACATCAAGCTCCTAACTGGGACACGTCTTGTGAAATCCAGCTGTGATATTATTCAAACATTGTTCAGAAA